ATTTTTCCTCTTAGTTATAAAAATTAAAATATTAAAGATAAATAAAAAAAACAAATAAAAACGATTTTTAAACCATAATTTTAATTTTGTATTTTTAATATAATTAAAAATATTATTATACTTTATTTTTATTATTCAGTGTTATTATTTATTTCTATTGAATTGTTATTAGTGGTATTATTATCATCAATATTATTATTATTATTATTATTTTTATTACTATTATTACTATTATTATTTGTTAATTTTGGAGATGATAATGTAGAAAAAATATCATCCAATATTACTTTTAATGATTTTAAATTTATAATATTATTCTGTTCATCTGTATAATACTTTTTAGTATATTGATTAATTTGATCAAACCCATCAATAATATTAGTTTTAATTGGTTTCACCAAAAGAGTTTGAGTTGATGGTGAAAGATATAGTTTCATTTTAGACAATACATCTGGTAAAAAAGTTTGAGATTTTTCTTTAACTTGCTCGATAATTTCTTTAATTCTTTGTGGATCTGCAAATGATTGTTGTGATAAAAGCATTGGGTCTGTTTGATTCTTAATGGACTGGTTCAAAAATACTGATATTTTTGTTAATAAAGATAATAATGGATCAATAACACTATTAGCTGTTGATAGAATAAATGATTCGATTGATTGTTTTAGTTCTTTTTCTAAATCCTTTTTAGAATCAATTGATGTGTTGGTAATTCTTGGTGATAATAACGATAAAATTGGGTTATTTGAGGATAATGTCAATAATGATCCAACGTTATATAAAGTTGATAAAGAATCTAAAAATTAAAAACAATAATTAATAATCTGTAAATAATATAAATTAATAAATAATAAACCTACGCTTTAAATTAGGAAAATCAACAATCTGCTCTATTATTACAAAATTAATATCGAATGGTGCAATTTGTTCTCTTAGAGTTAATAGATTTTTAATTAAAAATAATTGTGAATCTATAATTATAAATGGTTCATTCTTTTGAGAAAGCATTTTACTAGCACGCATTAGAGTATATGTACATGCTTCGACCACCTCTTGTGCTAAACCTTCAAAAATTTTAGTCTAAAAAAAAAATCTATTAATATTATAAAACCATAAACACATTGTAAAGAATTTAATACTTACTTCTAAAACTAAATATAACTTTGATAAACATGTTAAAGATTTTTCCAAAGTTGGGTACCATGTTGAATAAATACTCTTATATGAAAGTGATGGTGATGAATTACCGGATGTTAACATTGGGGAGTTTTGTTCGTTAAATATTTTTAATTGATTAGGATAGTCTAGGTCCTCTGGTTTAGGAATATAAGTTCTAATTTCGTCTCTTATATAGGTTTCAATAATAAAAATTAATCTCTCTTGAATATCCTGTAGCATTCTTTCAACTGAATTCTTGAAACCATTTGAATATTTTACTGATTTTAAAACAATGTCATCGATTAATTCGTTTCTGATTAAATGAGCTAAATTGCATAATGTTTCAAAACTGTGAATATGAATATAAACTGGTCGGAGAGTATCGTAAAGTTGATGAGAGTATTCATCTAATAAATTTGTAAATGGATAGCATTCGTGAATATTTTCTGGTGGTGAAAAGAATAGACTAAAAGTTTGATACTCGTTCTCATAAAACTGTATCATAAACAAACTTGAATTTCTGATCATTGATGAAATATCACTCATCTTTGTTAAAGATTGGAATTTTTCAAACATAATTAATGATAAAATTGATCTTCTATTATTGAAATAAATATTTTCTGTATCTATTAAAAATGATTGATATCTAAATTTAAAAAAAAAATGAATTAGTTTATTTACTATAATTATTATGAGTATTTTTAGAAGATATAAACATACGTTCCAAGGGCCCTTTTTTCTAATTCTATACATAATGGTCTAATTTTTGGTGCAAATGCTTTAAATCTGATATTTGAATGTTGGAATAAATCATTAAAATCTGTAGAAAAATCGCTGTTTATATTTTTTTCTGTTTGTTGTGGTTGTTGTGGATTTGATCTTAATTGTTTTTGAGCATTCATAATATCTTTACTTAAAATTCTTAAGTTTGATGAAATATAATCTTTAATTAAACCAAGTCCCCTAGAAAATAAAAAACCATATTGTAATAAATATTTATTTGATTCCATAAATGAAGGCTTTATTAAAAAAAAAGTAAACATTAATACCATAATTTAAAAAAGGGATTTTTATAATAAAGCGATTTGTCTCTATAAATCAATTTATATGACTACTTACATTTGATTTCATAAAATTAATACTATTCTCTAAATATTCAAGTGATGAAAGGAATGTAGGATCTGTTACATTATAATTTGGAGAATTAAATTTCTTTGTTTGAACTTCTAATTGGTTATAAAACTTTAATTTATCATGTATTGATTGAGCTATATATCTTAATTTTAACTTTTATAAAAATTAACATTAGTATTATTTTCATATGAATATAGGATAATAATATTTTTATAAATACCTCTTCTTTGAAAAACTTTTCACAATCTTCGTTTAATTGATTTGTTTTTTTTGTTAAATTTGAGTAATCAGTTTGCATACCTTCAACTAATTTATCACAGTTTTCAACCATTGATAATAATTGGTTTGAACCATCGGCATAATTTACAACAGTTTCTAAAAACCATTCATATTGGTGTAAGTGGGGATTATTTTTATCTATTATTGAATACCATTGATAGAAATCTGATAAATTATCTATTGGTTTTTTTGGTTTATAATTATTCATAAAATTAATATTATCTATTATAATTTCCTCTTGTTTTTGCTGTGGAGGTTGTGGTTGGTTTTGTTGGTTATCATTTTCATAATTTTCCAATGTTGTATTTTCTAATGATTTCTCTAACTCTATATCTATAAACTAAAAATAAATAATATATATAATATTAGTATGATTCATTTTTCCAATTTGCAAACATAATAGATATATACTTTATCTGGTAATGGTTTTTCTTGAATGCATTTATTTAAGTTATTTATAACTAACAATTGATCAGTTGATAACCTTGTTTTTTTTTCCCAATTACTAACATCAAAATTTATTTTTTGTTGTTGTTGGTGTTGTTGTTGATTAAAGTTATTTGTTGTTGGTGTTGTTGTCATTAGTTTATAATCTATAATTTTGATGTAATTTAATTAAAAATTACATTTAATCTTGATTTGTAGGAATAGAAACAAAAATAAAAAATAACAAAAAATATTAAAAAAAAAAAAATTAAAAAAAAATTAAAAAATTAAAAAATAATGAAAAAAATCTTTTTTTTTTTTTTTTAATTTAATTTTTATTTTTGCAATCTTTTTGATAATCAAACCATTTCCATTCATATTATTATTTATATTAATAATGTCACTAGCACAAAATTCAAAGTCGAACCAAATAATAACCCAAAGTTTAATGATGAAGTCTTTTAAAATAAATAGTAATAGTGTTAATAAAAAATAAATTATAGTGTGTTAATTAAAAATAAATAATAGTTACCAATAGAACTGCAGTTAAACCTTTAAATCTATTTTCAATTCTTTTTGGACCTTCAGATAAAACAATTGTTGAAACATAGCCATTCGTTAATGAAAATACAAATATAAAAGAAAACACTATACCTTCATTACCAAATAGTTTTGAATAGTATATGCAAAGGAAAAAAAGCAACACAAAAACCGATCTTCCAATAGTTATAGACCACAGCAATTTATTATTTGGTGTAGATATTAATTGACTGTTGGAATTGTGTATTACTAAAGGTAAGAATTTGCCAATCGAATCACCAACATTATAGATACCAATCATTATAAAAACAAACCAATCTTCTCTAATGATTGTTGATTTAATTTCGACCAATAAACCTGGATAGATGAATAACGATATTAAAAATAAATAAAAAATAATACAAGATAATTGTAAATTTTTTCTAAAAACATATTTAAATGGATTTTTCATTATTTCAATTTGTTCTTCTTCTATTCTAGATGGATTATTAATTTCTTCTTTAGAGATTTTATTATTATATATTTTCATTTCAATTATATCACCATTATTTCCATTATTATTATTATTATTATTATTATTATTATTATTATTATTATTATTATTATTACTATTTTCTATTATTATTTTACCAATAGGCGATCTTAAAGATAAAATATAAAAAATCAAAGTCGTCATAACTGTAAATGACGAAATTGAAAAGAAAATAAGAATACCTATTCTTTTACCATTTTCATCATCAGGAAATGATAGCTTACATATTAATCTTGTAATTATTACCATAACACTGGCTAATCCAATTCTAAAAAAAAAAAAAAAAAGAAATTAATAAAAAATATAAATAATTTATTTTAGATTTTTATATATAGATTTTACCCAGATTGTGCACATGATGTATAATTTGGACCAAATAAACTAGAAATACTAAATAGTGCTCCTTGACATAACCCATCAAATATTGCGTTACAAGAAATTAAGATCAAAGTTATTGTTAATTTTATAAAAGAATTTTTTTCGGTATTAATATTGATACATGGTGTAAGTATCATTAGACAAATAAACGCGGAAAATCCAACCAAAATAATAATGTAGGGTTTAAAATATTTTTGAAATCTTAGTAAAAATACAAATGTAATTGAAATGGTACACATGTAAAGAAACGGAAAAACAGATGCAATTTTATATTTTGGAAATAAAAATAAATCAAAATAGTCAATTGATGCTAAAAATGATTGGAATGGGAACATTGTCGAGCAACCCAACATCACCATTAAAAATGCAGTTCTAAATTCCTATTAATAACAAATAAAACAATTATGGAAATAACAACAAAATAAATAAAAGATAATAAAAATAAATAATTTATTTTATAAAATAAATAGTTTTAAAGTTTTATTCTTACAAGTTTATTATATTCTAGACCACTGTTATTGTTATTAATTATATTGTTACTATTATTATTATTACTATTAATGTTATTGTTTGTATTGTTAGATTCTAAAACATAGCTATTATGGTATTGAAATTTATTAATAACTGGGTAATCTAAAAAAGTTCTTCCGTTAAATACTGGTGATCCCAAATCAATAGCTTCTAAATTGGGTGAGTGTTCTATATTATAATCTTCATTCTCCTTTGAACCTTCTCTAGTTGTATCTAAATAATTAAAATGGATATCGCTACAATATCCATACAAAGAGGATGTATCACTTTGACAATCCATAGACTATTTTTTAAAATTTAACTTTATTTTTTAAAAATTAAATAACTTATTAATAATATCTAAGTTCAAAAAAATAAAAAAATGAAAATATAATTTATTTTCATTTAAATAATAATAATTTTGTATATATTTACTTTTAAAATTGTTAAAGTTACAATGGAGAAATGTTTATAGATAGTAAAAAACTCTTAAAATTATTACCTATAAAGATTTGGTTTTTATGACAATAAATTGGGGGAAATTTAAAAAAAATGAAAAAAAACAAAGATAAATAAGTGGGTGAGGGGGTCATGTTATAATGAAAAAAAATAATTACTTATATAAAAATTATTGTTATTTTTGATAATAATAGAATTTAAATTTATTTAAATTTTAACAATAAGGTTAATATTAAATTTAATACAGCGCCCATAAGCAAACCTAAATCTATACCAAATGACTGAATAATTTAAATAAATATAATGTGTTAATAATTTGAAAAATTAAAAAATATATTTTGAAAATAAAATAAGAAATAACATGATGTTTATACATACAATAAATATACTGGACAACTCTTTATAATTTAACAATACTCTTTTGGGTGCTTCAGCCATACATATTGAAGCAGTATATCCATTTGTAAAGGCAAAAATTGCAATAAAAATAAACACCATTGATACATCCCTAAAAGATTTAATGTAAATAGAAATAAAAAACAATATTATAAAAATAGTTCTTGAAAAAGATAAAAACCAAATTAATTTTAAACTATAATTTTTTCTTTTATAAAATAATGGTACTGATTTTCCCACAAAATCAAACAAATTAAAAACTGCTATTACTGCCACCATTGACCAATCTTTGGGGATGGATTTGAGAGGTATTTGCATTATAATACTGGGGAATAATAATAATGTTAAAATAAAAATAAATGAGACTGGTATAAAATATTGATAATTGTTATTCCAAACATATCTAAGTGGAGAAGGATTGACTGTTTTAATATCTGCATTTTGAGAAAATGTGTTATCAACCTCATTATTTTTTAATTCTATATCTTTTTTTTTATTTTTTTTCATAATTATTTCTCCTAAAGGTGATCTTAATAAATGAATAAAAAGTAAACCTGCGAATATTATAAAAACCACACCTACTGAAAAAAACACAATGACCCCAATTTTATTTCCTTGGTCTTGATCTTTAAAACTTAACTTTATAATTATTCTAATTACTATTACTATTACACCGGATAACCCATTTCTTAAAAATTAATTTTACTATTAGTTTTATATATTTTATTTTAATTTTAAAATTACTTACCCAACTTGACATGAGATTGAGTATTGGGGCCCAAATAAACCTGCAATTGCGTAGACTGAAGTTTGCACAAGTCCATCAAAAAATGATGCAACACCAATTAAAACCACAGTAACAATGTAACTCCCAAAGGACCCACCTACTTTTGTTAAGTTTAAAAGAGGTATTATAATCATTGTAACAACAAACACCATAAATCCAAAAAGAATATTATATTTATGATTTATTTTATTTGAAAACCTTAATACTACAATGAAAGCAATAGTTAACATTACCATATAAACAAAAGGTATTGTGGATGACGAATATAAATCGGGGTAAATAATAGCAAAATAATCTAATGCTGATAAAAAACTCTGGTATGGGAATAATAATGCAATTGTTAAAACTATTAAAATTGAACCTGTTTTAAAATCCTGGAAGATATTAATATTATTCAATAGTAATATTGCTTATTTAAACTATATATACAATGTCATCACCTAAAACTGGGTTATAATCGTCGTCCCTATCAACTTCATCTTCTTTTATATGTAAACTTGAACTACTAAATATTTCATTTTCTAAATTATTATTATTTTTATTAGCCAATGAATGCATATTACTTTCCTCACTTGCTATATTTTCTTCTATCCCCATTATTTATTAAAAAAAAGAGTTTTTTAATAAATAAATAAATTTGAAATTATTAGAAAGGTTATAAATAAAAAATATTAAAATGGATGTTAAAAATGATATAATTATATTATCACCCCTCTTTATATGTTTTTTTAAGAGATAAATAAAAATATTAAAAAATAAAAAATATTAATAATAATTAATATTATGGGGGTAATGTAATTTATCACCCCAAAATAATTAAATATATTTAAAAGGTTTTCGCCATCAGTATAGAACTTATCAAACCATTATAAATATTAAACAAATAAATAATTGTAAAATAAAAAAAATAGTTAATTAATATATTGTATTAATTTATTATTTTAATAAAATAATTTATTTTATTTAAAACAATATTAACATTACAGCTAAATTAACTGCACTTCCAATTAATAAACCTATATTGGCTGCAAAAGACTGATTATAAAAAAAATAAGGTAAGTATATTGTTTTTAAAAAAATATAATAATACTAATTTTAAACTTACAGTTACAACACCAGATAATTCTTTGTATTTTCTTGAAACTTGTTTTGGAGGTTCTGATACACAAATAGAAGAAAGTGCCCCATCGGTTAAACCAAACAAAATTAATAATATGTATACCAATGGCTTAATTCTAAATGTTTTAAAATAAATCTGTATAAAGAATAATAATACAAATACCAATCTTGATATAGTAATTGACCATATTATAGAAGCCTTATAGGTAATTCTTTTGGTAAGGAACATTGGGAATATTCTACCAATAAAATCGCACACACCATAGACAGCCACAATGGATACCATGTACCAGTCAGTTCTTATATCTTTAAATTCAATTTTATATATAAAACTTGGGTATATAAATAATGTGATTGTAAATAAAGAGATTAAAATTAAATTATAATGTATATTTTTTAAAACCACATATTTTAAAGGGGATTGATTTTGTGGTTTTTCGTCAATTTCTTTTGATTCTTCGTTTACACCTTCTTGATTATCTTCATCTTTTTTCATTATGTACTTTCCAATTGGTGATTTCAACAAGTAGACAAATAAAAGCGATGCAAATACTATTACTAAACAACTTAATGAAAAAAATATAATAATACCCTTTTTTTTGCTTTCTTCGGCGCTTGGGAATGAAAATTTAATTATTACCCTTAAAGTTGTTGAAATTACACCTGAAAGACCATATCTATATGAAAAAAATATATTAATAAATATAACCATGATATTATATTCAATATACATGAATCATTACCCTATTTGACAAAATATCGAGTAATGGGGACCAAATAAACCTGCAATAGCCATGATTGATGATTGAATGAACCCATCAACAAATGCAGTACAGCATATTAAAATAACTGTTATTATATAGCTTCCTATAGTACCAGATATGCTACTTAGATTTATAAACGGAACAATGATCAACACTATTATATACACTATAAAACCCCCAATAATGTTAATATGATGTTTAGTTTTATGATGAATTCTTAGCACTAAACAATATGTTGCTGCAATGGTAAACATATACACAAAAGGTAGTGTTGATGTAGTATAATAATCGGGATATATCTCTGAAAAGTAATCTAAAGATGATAAAACACTTGAATAAGGAAACAATACTGAGCATGTTAAACCTGCCATTACAAAACCTATTTTATAATTCTTATTATAAAAATATTAATACTGAATTCTATATAATCATTTAACCCCTATATACACTACAATTTTATTTTTATCTAAAATTGCCCCTCTATTTGCATCATCAATGTTTTCTTTTTTATTTTCATTTTCTGGTATATCTAAAATTTTTATTTTATTTTCATTTATACTATAATTTATTGAATCACCTTCTAAAAAACTATTATCCATATACATTGTTTATTTTTAAAATAATAAATGAAAAAAACTTTTTTTAACTTTATTTACCATAAAATTAAAAAAAATAAAATTTTTAACCCACTTTATTTTTTCCCCACTCAAAAAAAAATATATAAATTTAAAAACAAATTAATATCAGTCAGTGAATAGATTATCTTATGACCACATTAAAATTTTTAAAAAAACAGCCCCCAACCCAGAATAGTGTATAAATAAAACAAATTAATAAAATAATATAATGAGAATCAATATTGGTAAAAAAAAAAAAAAAAAGATTAAAGATATAATATATTTGTTTTTAAAGATGAATTAACTTTATTTATTACTATCAAAATCTTCTTTATAATTGTTTTTTTTTTGATTATTCAGCTACCCCAATAACTAAGAAAAAAAAAAAAAAAAAAATTATTAATATTTATTTTTAATATTAATATTTATTTTTAATTTTTTTTTTTTTTTTTTTTAATTTAATATATATCTTACCCCCACAAGCTAAACGTGCACCTGCATGACCAGTTGTTTTGCTATCATCATGGCCTCCTTTACCCAAGTCATCTTCATCTGCATGGACAATCATTGTACGGCCAATAATGCTATTTTTACCGCACAAAGAAATTACAGAATCTGTAATAGTACCTTTTGTAGCTCCTCCAGTAGCTTCAATATTTCCTAAATCTCCAACATGACGATCCTAGATAAAATTATAGAAATTAAAAAAATATTAATATTTATTAAATTTAATAAATAAAATAATACCAAAAAAATATAAAAAATATTTATTTTTTAATTGTTAAAATAATTTTGTACTTACAGTATCACAGGGAGAGCCATGGGTTTTATTAAATGGATTGAAATGAGCTTTAAATAAAAAAGTTTTGGGTATTAGAATATGAAATATATGCAATTATTAGTAATAAAAAAAATACATACAACCTGCAGAAACACATCCATTTGTAGTGTCACCAAAAACATGAACATGGAAACCATGCTTTCCTTTTTCTAAATTATTAATGTCATATTCGACTGTTACTGGCTTATCTTCGCCTTCTTGTCTGAAGGTAACAACACCATTTACTTTTTCTCCTTTGAGAACTGCAACTGCTTTTTTTGACATTTTATTTGAATTTATTTTGAATTTATTTTGAATTTATTTTGAATTTATTTATTGTTTAAAATATTTGTTTATTTATTTATATTAAAAATTAGTATATTAAATTGAAAAAAAAAAAAAAAAAAATAATATATATTTATAAACAATAAAAAAAATAAAAAAAAAATAAAAAAAAATAAAAAAATATATTAAAAAAAAAAAAAAAAATATTGAACTTAATTAATATTTTTATTTCCTTTTTTATTTGAAAATAAATCTTGATTCCATATAAAAATAACCCTACAAATTGAAAAAACAAAAACAAAAACAATAACAACACCCCAACAAATATAATAAAAATAATGAAATACCCTTTTAATATGAAATAATTATCGTACCCCCAAATTATTATAATTTATTTATTTTTTATTTTTATTATAATAACTGTTGAAATTTATTATCTTTATTTGAATGTATTGTTCATTAAAAAAAAAGTAAAAACTTTAATAAAAATATACTAACTAAAACTACATAAATAAATAATTAAAAATAAATATATAAAAAAAATGTTGCAAAAAACAGCGCATTTGAAATTTAAAATAAATTTAATAATTGATTATAAAATTTTTTGGATATAAAACAAAAAAATTAAAAAAAATTAAAAAAAATAATTTAAAATAATTTAAAAAAAAAAAAAAAATTTACAATATTAACAATGAGGGCAGTTTGTGTAATAAAAGGTGAAAATATAGATGGAAATATATTTTTTAATCAAATAAATAAAGAATCACCAGTTTATATAGAAGGAATAATAAAGTAAGTATTAATTATAAACAATAAACTTAAAAAAACTAGTTATTATACTAACAACCATTTTATGTGTAGTGGTCTTAAACCTGGTATACATGCTTTTCAAATAAATCATTTTGGTGATTTAACCAATGGATGTGTATCTACAGGAGGATACTTTAATCCAAACATAAATAATAAAGAATTGTCATTAATATCAAAAGCACAGCCACCAACATTCACAAGAAATCGACGTATATTTTTAGGTGATTTAGGAAATATAGTTACAAATGAAAATGGAAGAACTTTAATACATATAAAAGATAATCTCATAAGTTTATTTGGAGAAAATAGCGTAATAGGACGAAGTATAGTAATACATGACGATCCAAACGAATTATTTAGAACGGGCAATGGCATTTATAATGGAAATAATAACAATAATTTAAATTTAATAAATGGACTGGGTTGTGGTATCATAGGGATAGCATTAGAAAAATCAAGATCATATTTATAAATATTAAAATAAAGTAAATTTTTTATAAAAAAAAAAAGAAAATAGTTATATTATATAAATGATGTATTTTATTTTTTTTTTTTGTTTTTATTTAGTACACTTTTGAAAAATAAAAGATTTTATTTATTATTTTATTATTTAATAAATGATAAATTATTTAATTATTTATTTATTATTTATTACTGATTATTTATTATCTATACCATTTTAATATCTTCTATTAATTGAGGTTTCAACTTCACATGGTTCAATATTCCAAATATCTTTAGCATATTCTTTCATAGCTCTATCAGAACTAAAGAAATAAGTTGAGGCACTGTTGATAATTGATTTTTTAATCCAAGATCCTTGATCCTTCCATAAAGCATCGACTTCAGCTTGAGCATCAAGATATAATGGGAAATCTTGAATGGTTAAGTAGAAGTCATTATAGATGAGTGAATCTAAAATTGGTCTGAAAACATCTGGTGGACCAAAGGTACCCAATTCAATATTTAAGAATACCTCTTGAAGACGTGGGTCAATAACAACTTCTTTTTGAGTCATTTTTTCACGGGCAGCATCAATTTCATGAGTACGAAGACCAAAGATAAACATGTTTTCTTGACCGACTTCATCAGCAATTTCTACATTAGCGCCATCTAATGTACCAATGATAAGTGAACCATTCATTGTGAATTTCATGTTACTTGTACCTGAGGCTTCAGTACCAGCGGTTGAAATTTGTTGATTAATATCTGAGGCTGGAACGATGACTTGAGCAATAGATACATTGTAGTTGGCAATGAAAACTACTTTAAGGTATTGGTCGACTTCTTTATCACGATTGATAACTTCAGCGACAGAGTTGATTAATTTAATGTGTCTCTTGGCCATGACATAACCTGGAGCAGCTTTACCAGCGAAAACTACAACTCTTGGAACAACATTAGCTCTATCTTTTGGTGACATCTTTTTGATTGAGAGATAACGGTAGATGACTGAAAGAATATTTAAGAGTTGTCTCTTATATTCATGAATTCTCTTAATGTGAACATCAAAGAGAGCGTTACTATTGACTTGAATACCACAATTCTTTAAGATGAATTCGGCTAAACGTTCTTTGTTGAATTGTTTAACTTGTTTCCATTCTTCAACTAATTCTGGATTATCCATATGTTGTTTGATACCTTTAACTAATTCCAAGTCAGTTGTCCATTGATCGGTACCTAACCATTTAGTGAAAATAGCTGAAAGACCTGGGTTGGCTTGTTCAATCCAACGTCTTGGAGTGACACCATTAGTTTTATTTTGGAATTTTTGTGGCCATAAAGCAAAGAAATCTGGGAAAACCTTATATTTAACTAAATCTGAATGAATAGCGGCAACACCATTAACACAATGTGAACCAACGATGGCAAGATGAGCCATTCTAACTTTCTTTTCTTCACCTTCTTGAATAATTGAAAGACCTCTCATTTTACCGATATCACCTGGCCATTTTTGAGTGACTTGAATAAGGAAACGATGGTTAATACCATAGATTAATTGCATATGTCTTGGAAGAAGATCTTCAATTAATGATACTGGCCACATTTCTAAGGCTTCTGGAAGAATAGTGTGATTGGTGTAAGCAAAAGTTTTGGTGACAATATCCCAAGCCTCTTCCCATTGGAGGCTCTCTTCGTCTAAAAGTTTTCTAAAGAGTTCAATAACACCGATAGTTGGATGGGTATCATTTAATTGAACGGCAACCTTGTCTGGGAAATCTTTCCAATTTTGATGGGATTTCTTGAAACGACGAACTACATCACAAAGAGTGGCAGCAACGAAAAAGTATTGTTGTTTTAATCTAAGTTCTTTACCAGAGTAAGTGTTATCGTTTGGATAAAGAACTGAAGTAATATTTTCTGATCTTTGTTTGGCTTCGACTGCAGAGAGATAATTACCACCATTGAAAGCATCTAAATCGAACTCTTTGTGTGGTTTGGATGACCATAAACGAATGTTATTGGTGTTGGTAGTGTGATAACCTGGAATTGGGGTATCATAGGCAATTGCTTGGACTAATTCACCACCTTCCCATTCAAATTTGCTACCTTCACTTGATTTTCTTTCAGTGACATGACCATAGAAACGAACGGTATATTGAACATCAAGACGTTCAATTTCCCATGGATTACCAGCAACTAACCAATAATCTGGAACCTCTGTTTGATAACCATCGTAGATACCTTGTTCAAACATACCATAATTGTAACGAAGACCATAACCCCATGCTGGATATTTGAGAGTGGCTAATGAATCCATGAAACAAGCAGCTAAACGACCTAAACCACCATTACCTAAAGCGGCATCTTTTTCTTCTTCATAGAGGTCTTCCAATTCGAAACCAAATTCTAAAAGAGCACTATGATATTCATCCTTGAGATTCATATTATAAATTGCATTTTGCAATGATCTACCCATAAGAAACTCCATAGATAAATAATAAACTCTCTTTGGGTCTCTTTCAGTATAATATTGTTGAGTTTCATTCCATCTTTCAATTAAACGATCTCTAACACTATAAGCTGAACCTTGATAAGCTGAAAATGAGTCAAAATTATATTTAGTTCTAGCTAAAGTATATTCAACATGATCTAAAATACCCTTTTGAATTGAATCTTCATCTAAAAATTTATAAAAAAATAAAAAATAAAAATTAATAATTTAATAATAATTGGTATGTTTATTGAATCTAAATTATCACTTACCATTCTTTAAAAAATCTGTTTTAAGAGCGAATAATTTGCTGCCCTTCTTTTTTTCAGTTGGTGGAATTACACCAGTTGTTGTTCTGGCACTATGCTTTGGAATTGACATTATAAATTAAACTTTAAATAATTATACAATTTATAAATTACAAGAAAAAAAATCTATGCTATATATTTGTTTTGATTTCTTTTTTTTTATTTAAACTAATAGTAATAGTAATGTTTATTAAATAATAATTTAAATTTATTAGTAAAAATTATAATTATATATTATTATTATTAATAAATAAATAAAAAAGATAATTTTATTTATTTTTTAAAAATTATAAAAAATTATAAAAAATAATAAAAATAATAAAAATAAATTAAAAAATTAAATTTATAAAATAAAAATCATTAACTAGTAATCAAAAAAAAAAAAAAAAGAAAGAAAAGAAAAGAAAGAATAGAGTGGTGTTTTCTTTTATTTGTAATCCTTTAATATATATATAAACATTTACATGTGTGTTTGTGTGTTTGAATTTATTTTTAAATGTGAGTTGTGTGTTGTGTTGTGGTTTGTTAATAAAATATATTTATTTAGTTAGTTGTGTGTTGTATTTATTTTGTATATATGCAAATTTAAAATATTTTTAAAAAATATCTGTAAAAGTTTTTATTATTGTTTATCCATATTTATATTTTTTGTTTTTTTTTTTAGAAAAAAAAAGTGATATACAATAGTGTATTTGATATTGTTGAAAATGATTTAAATCTATTTTCTTTTTGAGAAAAAATATTCATTTATATCTTTTAATTTAGTTTGATTGGATTGATTTGATGATAATGGATTTAAATAAATGAATAATGTGATAGATAGATATATAATTATATCTATTATTTCTTTTTTTTATTATTATTATTATTTTTAAGAATCTGATTTAAATATTATTAATTAATTTATGAAAAAAATAAAAATAAAGAAATAAAAAAAATAAAAATATGGAGATTATTACTAATTTATTTATTGTTTAATTACACAATGTGTAAAATATAATTAAAAACTAAAAAAAATAAAAAAAACTAAATGAAGGGTGATGTTGATATTGATATGGATGGTTATTTTAAATGTGCATCTGTGTGTCTTTTTTAAAGTGTGTCTTTTTTAAAGTGTGATTTTTATTTTTATTTTTGAAGCTATATTTAAAAATATAAAAACAATATACTTTATTCGTCAAAATTATAATTTATAAAAAAAAATATGTACAATACAGCTAAATATTATAAATTGTTAAATTCTGTATTATTTATGTTCCTATGCAACATGTGAAAAGTTTTTTTTTTTTATTTTTTATGAAAATTTTTATTTTTTTTATTTTTTTTTTATAAAATTTTATATTTTTTGTTTTAAGTTTACCTTTTAGTGTATGTGATTTATTTTATAAATAAATAAATAAAATAAATATAAAATAAATATAAAATAAATAATTGGTTAGGGGAGAATGAAAATAAAAGATATCTATGAAAATATAAAAAAAAAAAAAAGTAACCCTATTATTTAATTTAAAAAAAAAATTATTTTAAAAAAGAAAAAAAAAAAAAAAAAAAAAAA